CTTAAAATTAGTGTAGGTTATCAGAAATTACAGCACGTGGATTCCGTTAAAAATTTGGGTCTGTTTATAGACAATGATTTAAAATTTAATACACACATAAATAAGCTATTACAAAAATCTTATTGTATTTTGAAATGTCTCTATCCGTATCGACACGTGTTAAATGCAGATAGTAAACGATTATTAACTGATGCATTGATTTTATCTCACTTCAACCACTATGATTCGGTCTATGGTCCCTGCTTAACTAAAGAAAATCAAAGAAGGGTGCAGTATGTCCAGAATAGCTGCCTCAGGCTGATTTATGGCATACAAAAATATCAGAGAGTTTCACATAAATTGGCGTAGTGTGGTTGGCTGAATATGCATAATAGGATGGCTCTACATAGAGGAGTAGTTTATTTCAAAATCTTAAAAGACAAAATTCCTGTTTATTTAAGTAATAAAATAACCTACCTAACTATAAAGATTCACTTACGGTGCCACGTCACGCGTCGACTGCTTTTCGGAATTCATTTACATACGGCATCACAGTTTTTTGGAACACCCTTCCTCGCCCATTAAAAGTGTTAAACGTGTCAAAGTTTAAAATTAAATACAGACGGTATCTATGTGAGCGACAGACAAGATTGAAATAGTTTTCCTTATTATACTCAGTTATACATATATTTTTTTTGCGCTGTTATGGATTATTTGTTGTTATAGTACATAGGAGCTAGGGGAAGAGCAGGCCTCACTACCAAGGTGTTGCCTGACCTGGCTACCTAATTAACCTTCTTAATTTTCTTTATTATGTAAAGTGATTTATATGTAAAAGATTTTTGAGGGTTAATAAATTGCATTATTATTATTATTATTATTATTATTATTATTTAAATACAATAATAACTCGTAGAATAACTAATGTTATAAGTATTCACTTATCCAAACTAGAAAAAATTAAATTATGTAAAAATTTGTCTGGCCTCATTAACCAGTACTTGGATAAACCTATGTTTGAAAATTCTCATGATGTTAATAACCATAATTTAATAACTCTCACTCCCGGAATGTATTCAAATGACGTATTGTGTCGGTGATGTCACTGTTGCTGCTTAGTTCGATCGGTGTCCGATCTGTCGATACTGTTGTCAATTATTTTAACAAGTCAAATAAACTTAATATAAATGTTAATAACAAAGATCATAATACTCAATCTTGTTCAGTTTCAAAACTGTCGATGGTGCACATAAATATACAAGGACTAAAAAATGAATGTACTGTTCTTGAAACCTTTTCTTATAATTTATATGTAAAACCAGTTGTGCTATGTATTTGCGAGCACTGGCTCACAGTTGATGGAATTAAGAATTTATCAATTCTCAACTATAATCACGTCACCTCTTTTTGCAGAAGATCTCATGGACGTGGTGGGGTTGCGTTACTGGTTCGGGATGATGTCGTTTGTGTTCCTCTGCCTATTGCTGAAAATTCAAAAGAAATGGAGTGTGGTGATAATCGAAAAATAATCCAAAAAAGGTGATATTGATGATCCTTCGAACTTTAGACCAATTAGTATACTGCCGGTGTTGTGGAAAATTTTTGAAATGCTAATGAAAAATCAATTATTTTGAAACTAATAATATTTTTAACAAACAACAATTTGGCTTTAGAAAAGGACTCTCTACGGCACTGGCTATACAAAATTTTGTCGAGTATGTGGTCGATGGTTTTGAGACTTCGCAATACACTGAGGCTAGTTTTTTGGATCTTACCAAAGCTTTTGATTGCTCTGCCCTGTCTCATTCTATCTTAATACGTAAACTGGACACTTACAATGTCGCCCCGGACGCTTGTAAGCTTTTTTCATCTTATCTTACAAATAGAAGTCAATTTGTTAAATTTAACTCGGTGATGTCTAACCCTGGGAATATTACAAGTGGTGTTCCTCAGGGGTCAATTTTGGGTCCTATTTTATTCTTAATATATGTAAATGATTTGCATTCTTTCCTGAACTTGAGCTTCCAAGTTCAATCTTGTATGCGGATGACACAAGTTTGCTGACAAAACATGATTCTGACTTTGATGCTAGGGGATTGCAACGTTTAATGTTAAAATCGGCAAGGCATTGCTTTGCAAGTAATCGTCTAACACTGAATGCTTATAAAACAGAAGTAATGACCTTTACACTAAAGCAAACTACTATTAAATCCTGTGTAGCGGATAGAGGAGTCAGGTTTTTGGGTGTTCATCTGGATTCCGGGCTTACGTGGAATGTTCATGGTGAGAAATTAGCCTCACGCTTAAGCTCCACTGCCTTTCTGATGGGTCGTCTGTCTGATTTTTCCTCTACTCGGGTGTTGCGTTCCCCGTATTTTGCGCTTTTTCAGAGCCATCTAAGTTATGGGTTCCTCTCCTGGGGACATGCCCCGATTAATAAAAGAATATTTGGTATATAAAGAAGAGCTATTAGAAATGTTGCTAACTTGAACTATACTGATGACTGTAGGCCTTATTTTAACAAATTAAAAATATTAACACTACATTCATTATATATTTTAAAGTGTTTAAAGCTCACTTTTTTACATCATAGTCAGCACAGGAAAAGTAGTGATGTTCACAATTATGGCACTAGGAGGAGGAATGACATTCGACCAGAGGCACTGCGACTGGAGAGGTCGAGAAACGCATATAATTATTATGGAGTGACACAAATTCTTCTGTCTTGCATTGTGGTTATAGAAGCTTACCTTATAAAGCTTTTATAACCAAAATTAAAAATGTTTTGATGGAGAAGGCATATTACTCCATAGATGATTTCTTAAACGACATACAGTCCTTCCCAACCCCAAAGTACTGGAACAACAAATTCAAACAATTTATACTGAAGCAGGGCTTTCAAGAAAGCTGCAGATCCATGTTTGTTTATAAGAAATAAAAATGATCAAAGATTGTTCTTAGTAATCTATGTGGATAATGGATTGATAGCAGGGAATGATCAAGAAGAGATAACTGGATTAATCCACCAACTAAAGCAGGAATTCAAGATTACAGAAGGTGAACTGAATTCATTTCTCGGTATACAAATTCAACAGGCTGATAACAGCATTTTTATAAGTCAGCCAACATATACCAGAAAACTACTAGAGCGATTTGGAACGAAACATTCAAAGTCAGTTGGTGTTCCTACAATGACGATTGAAAAGGATGAAGAATCTAAGTATATAAATGATAGGATTCGTTATCGTGAAGCTGTGGGTTGTTTACAATATTTGGCTACAGCTACACGACCAGATATTGCCTTTGCTGTGGGTGTCGTTTCAAGAGCAGTATCAAAACCATTCCAAGCTGATTGGCAACAAACTCAACGAATTTTTAGATACTTAAACGGAACAAGAAATGTTGGAATCATGTACCAATCGGATAATCCTGCATCTTTTATGACATACAGTGACGCAGATCATGGAGGAGACTAGGAAACGATACGACTGGATTTTATACGAATTTTTAAAACTTAATCGGCGAAAATTGCAAAATTCAAAAAATTTTTCGATCATTTCAAAAATTTATTTCTCAAGAACTAAAAGTGATTTTTTAAAACGGCTTTTTGCATTAAAAAGAGGATAATTTAATTAATAATTGGTGATATTTCCACAAGGATCCTTTGAGAAATTAATTTTATAGCGAACTTTGAAAGTTATCGATGAAAATTGCAACATCGAAAATTTTATCAAAACTTCAAATATTGTTTTCTCAAAAACTAAAAGTTATTTTTCAAAACG